AATATATTATATTTGTTCAAAAACTTTTTACTTGACGTATAAATATATTAAATTAATTAGATTTTTTTGAATTATTTATTAATATAACAATATTAAAAAATTGTAGATAACAATTTATTTCATTAATATTTTAAAGAGAGCTTTAAAATATATGTATTTATTTGAACAACATAAAATAGGAAAAGTTACCTTTTTTACAAACAAAATATATGTGGAAAATAATGTTTCATACTTATTTAATAAATATTTAATTTGAATGCAACTTAAAAAGAAAAAGTAAAAAAAATTAAATGTTTTTTTAGATAATAGCAATGAAAAATGAAAATCACTAATAATAATTTGAAATATGTTTTTATTTTAATTATAGTTAAGTCATCAAAATGATGTGTCATCCACATCACCTCATTAAAGCCACACAAACAAAAAAGTCAAAGGGTTAACCGGTTTAAAAGGTAACAGGTTACCCATTGCTATTATCGGTAGATTTTTTAAAGTACAATGCCTTAATAAAAAATAATTTGAAAGTACATTGTTGTAATAAAGAAAAACAAAAGTAGAATGCTATAATAAGAAATTTTATGAAAGTAGGTTGCTATTTCATATATTTAACCCTAAAATTTAATCACTGATATTATAATAAAATAGTGTAAGAGCACGATTGTGATCTTTACTTACAATAAAACAAGATACATATAACATACATCAAACCAAATTGAAATATGATGACATTAAACAACAGTTACAAACAACAAATAAAAAACATAAAAGTCAATTTCAAGCCGCTCTAGGTGGTTTATGGATTTGAAGCATCATATAGAAGTTCATAAGGGTTTCATTCCCTGGAATTATACCCTGAAGGGATTCATGTGATAGCATACGATCTGCCCACTTTGCAAGTTTCGGGGTTTTGACTTCATCAAATGCATTAAACTCATTATGTTTGTTACCAAATTGTACCCAACCTAAAAAACATCCAAGAACAACATCCAAATATCCTATATCATCTCCGCCAAAATAAGCCTTCCCATTGCTAAATTTCTCAAATGCTTCCTCCAACAACACTGAACCTTCCAGTATTTGTTTCTTTACTGCTTCTTTACCCTCTTTTCCTGGTGTTTGCCTCAAGTCTTCATATAACGGAAAATACTGTCAAAATTTTACGATAAAAGTCAGTAAAAAAAATCTGTAATTCACCTTATGAATAAAAAAGATAAATTTTAAGTAGTTTCAATAAAATAGTTACTATTATTCTCCATAATAACAAAATAAGAATTTTGTAAATGCAAAACAAAATTACCAAAATTTCTTAATAATTGAACATAACACCATGCTAATTTATTCGTCGTATGATCTAATCTGACGTGTCTAATCTTTTTAAAAAGAAAAATAATTTCATATTTTAATTTTTAAAATAGGAAAATCACATATAAAAAAGAGCAAAATAAGATATGAATAAACCATCATATCATAAAATATCCAAAACGTCAAATCTCTCGATCTAAAATATTTACTATTATTAATTCGGTTATATATGATTTCCAATTGTTTTTTAATAAATAAAAAATAATAATTGGAAAATTGTATCGAATTGAAAAAAAAATCTATTATAAATGCTTCAAAAAATTAAAACTCAGTATTTGATATACCTTGTTATCAATATAATTGGCCCAGAACCGATTGTCAGCACGATCTATGGGGGCCGAAGGGAGGATACGGTGCACATCGGGTCGGAATTCATCAAGGTACTCGATTATTACAAGAGACTCGGAAATGGGTGGTTTGTTTGCATGAAAAAGGACCGGAATCTTCTTATAAACCGGGTTCGACGTCAACAAAAGCTCACTTTTACAAGCAAGATTTTCCTCGATGAACTCGTACTCGATGGACTTGAGTTTGAGGACGAATTGAACCCGGTTCACATATGGACTTGCAGCAGTTCCAAGAAGTTTTATTTCATCTCTTTTCGTCATTGAAAGAGATGATTATGATGATAACAATGATGTTGTTGTGTGTCAAAAGGTTGAAGACCCCATCTGTATATAAATACAAAATATAACCATATGTGACCCCTGATGTTTAGCTACATGGCAAAACTTAACTTTAGTTTTGGTAACTTTGAATAAAACTGTAATTTCGAAAATTATTTCCAAAGTAACTTTAATATCATCCTCTATTAACTACAAAGGTGGTACCTGATTGGTTTAAGCTTGTGTTCTAAAGGTCAGAAGTGTTTGCAGGTATCATGTTCGAATCCAAAATAAAAAATAAAAAATCCATTTGTGGCCACGGAGGTTCAAATGCGGTGACTTCAAGCTACCCGCAAAGCAATGGTCGCCCTAGAATTAGTCAGCTCGCATAACGGGTTGAATATTCAGGTTAATAAAAAAAAAATACCATTCTCTATTTGGTAGAAGATAGGATGAAGGTCCTTCCATAACTTTGGGGGTTATAACCAAATTATTCAGATCATAAGGGCTGTTTTTGAAATTAATCCATCTTTAAGAAAAATTGCAAACGAAGGCCTGCAGGATTATTTGTATCAGTTGCTGCCGTCTAATTTTAAATTATCAACATATTTCAAGTTGAACCTTCAAGTTTTATTTCTTACAAATAAAACATATGCAATGAATCAATAATCATACAATTAGAACCACAATAAAATTCCATTCCTATTAAATACATTGTATTCCAAACACTTTGGAAGTTATAAGCAAACCGTCCAAATCTCAAGGGACCATTTATGTATTAATAACCCATCTGATAATAAATTTTTAAGATGTGTTTGGTATTTACAGATAAATTTGGACCGAAAAAAATACATTATTGTCTCGGTTAGTATTATGATTAATTTATTGCTCTAATGTCACAATAAACATAGCTGACATATCATGTGGGACACCCACATATGAAATGTGTACATAAATTATGCAATATATTTAATTGGATCTTGAGGTTTTTTATTCCTAACAAAATAAAACGGTATCTTTTCAGGCTGATCTCTATTTTATTTAGATATTATAAACTTGTTATTTGATGACATCATATGATATTATACTTGGATAAAATGGCAAATTAATGAAACAAATACAAATACTATATTATATGACTTTATCACCGTATAATTAGATTCGATTATATATTTATAATACATTATATCATATACTTTATTCTTTAGTAGTTGTTACAAGAAATGCAATTATTTTTGTAGTACATGTAACAAATAAGGTTAGACCGTATTTATTATGGAAATTTGTTCACTTTAAATTCAGCACTTTTAAAAAGTGGTTGTTTCAATTGAAACACATATTTCTTATGTCAAATAATATTCTTAAAACGATATAGAAACATTTGTAATTATATTCTTAAAACGATATAGAAACACATATTTCTTATGTCAAATAATAAATTAAATTCATTTTCATTTCAAAAGACAAAATCTCCGATCAATTAACTTTGATCTCGTCACTATATTTATGTTGCATGCAATAACTCAATATGTTATTTAGCCAACAATTTTAGAGCGTATGCTCAAAATTACATATCAATTAATTTATGATTTTACATTCATGTCTATATATGTATTTATGTATCTGATAATCTTCACAAAATATCTGATTGGTATCAAGTATCAATCAACATGCATACGTATATTCAAGTGATCATCCATATGTTCGATAAGTGTTTGTTACAATAAATGCTATTTATGTCATCGATTTTATATGATTTTTAATTTATGGTCGTTGCTTATCAGTATTATATTTGTTGTAAAACTTTAATATAAAAATAGACGGACTCAACAATCATTTGAAGATAGGTTTGATCTCTTTTTTAGACATGGATTGAGTGTTGATTTAGTTAGGTAGTAGATGATCTCCATCTAATATGTGTCTTGTGTTTTCATTATAAAGTTGAACATTGATCAACAAGTACAATTTAAAATATTTCTTTTTTTTAAATAAAAAACAAAAAGAAATTGACCCCCATAAGCCTGAAAATAAGTCACATGTCCCATTAAAGCCCTCAATCCAAGAAAGTCAAAAGATGCCTTTAACTAGGAAACAAACAGAGTAAATTACACTTTTGATCCTTGTTGTTACCACATATTATTAATGGTCATCCCTCTTTTGAACGAATTATAGTTTTAATTGCTGTGGTTGTCATTTTACTTCACTTTTGGTACTTCAAACTAACTTATATTAAAAGGGTTTGTTAAGTTGGGAGGGGGTATTTTGGTCTTTTGAATCTTTGTCTTTTTCTTTTTTGTTTTATTAAAGCCTTTTGTCTTGTATGTCAATAACACAGATACCCTCACCATCATCCCCCACATGTCTTCTTCCTTCATTGTCGATCACATTGCACCTAACGAGCCCTCCCCATGTGGTCATTTCTCCGGGAAAACAATCCCAAACCCAAACCCAAAATCAGATCCCAAATCAAACTCCTGTCATGATCTAAACCTAACAATCTTATGAGAACTCCCTCTACGTCTCTTGGTCATACGTGAATGACCTTCTCCAAAATCCAAAATAAAAATTGATCCTCCCCCTTGTTCTAAATATCTATTTACCCTCTTTTGATTCAAACCTAAACATACTCAAATCCAAATGAACCTAACTAAGATGCTTCTACGATTTTTGGGCTTGAAATATGAGCTTCTTTAAAATACGATGTATATAGGTAACTAATTTTAATTAAATATTTCATTCTATAAAATTTAATTAAATATTTTGATTACTTGTCAAAAATAGAATTAATATATTACATTTTTAATTTATTTAAGAAACATTCTTAAATATCTCAAACGAGTGGTTCACATTGGATCTCACATTTACCACAAACTAATCAGTTCTCTCTTCAATGGACCACTATATATATACACACATACATACATACATATACATAGATACATACATACATACATACATACATATATACATACATACATACATACATACATACATACACATATATATATATACATATATATATATATATATATATAAAACTTAATCTTAATTATTTGAGAACTTTAAAAATATGTGTAATCTGTGAGATTAATTTTAAGCCACTAATTTAGGATAACTAATATTATTAATTAATGAGATTTTACCCCAGATCATTCAATTTGCTTTTGTAATAATCAAGCTAGAAAACAAATCGAAGAGACCAAATCATATGGGCTAATCAGTAGGGATCAAATCACATGGTGACTTCTCTACCATCTTCCCTCTTTCGGTTATCTTCTTCAACAAGATCAAATCACAAGGCCTAATTGTTACACACAAATTAGAAAAAAAAAATCGAAGATAAAGAGAGGAGTTTAGAAACAAAAGAAAATCGAAACTGGTGGAGATCTAACAGAAGGATGGACTTCGTGAGGGCTCTAGAGGTGAAGGTCGGTGAGTTTTGAGTTAAAAGCGGGTTTAAATCAAGTCCAGTGGATTTTTAGTGAAGGCATGAGCAACTCCATCGATTTTATCTTGTACTACGCTTTAGAGGGAGATGAGAGAAGAATAGCCCGAGAAGTCACCGGTGAGGTCTTTGGAGAAGGGCTTGATACAGTATGGTTTCAGAAAAGTTAAGAGAGATGGGTGAAGATATTGGCATGGTGGGCATAGTCATCGATTTGGGGCAGGTAAGGTTTTAGAGAGAGAAGAAGTAATTATATTTCTATATATTATATAAAAATTAATTAAGGGGGTGTTTGGGATTGCTTATCGGAACTGCTTTTTAACTTATTTCAGTCTGGCACCGTAGATAAGTTATTTTAGAGTGTTTGGGAAAAGAAAAAAAAACTGCTTATACCGATGCCAAACCGGTAATAAGCAGTTTTTGATAAGTTAATCCTTACTGACTTACGAAAAACAACTTATCATCGATTTACCATTTTAACCCTTTTTAAATTTATCCAAACATTAGATACGTCTCATCATCGTCATCCCTTCCTCTCATCATCAATATCCCTTCCTCAAATATATTATAAATATATTATTTTTTCTTGAATTATTAATGGTATTGGTATAAATGTTTGTTAATTATTAATCTTATTGATATAAATTATTAATCTTATTAATATAMATTTTTCTCAAATATATTATAAATGACGAAAAATAATTTTTTACATGTTAAAAAATCAAATAATTTAATAAGCAATCTCAAACACTCTCATAAGTCAATAATATGAAAGACTGTCTTTTTTGGTCATTTTACACATATAAGCAAAATTTGTCAAACACTAAAAAACAATTTATCAGCTTATTGCAGTTTGGTACCGCTATAAGCTAATCCAAACACTTTTTATAAAACTCCGGTTTGATACCACATAAGTTAATAAGTACTTTTACAAAAAAACATAAGTTGTTTTAAATAAGCAATCCCAAACACCCCCTAAGTAATATAATAAATATTTAAATTTTTATGAAAAAATTAAGAAAAATGTACAAAGACTAAGTTGCCCCTTACTTAACAGACTTTGGTTAACAAAGTTAGTAACTAGAACCATTTCAGAACAAAAAAAAAAAAAAAAACTGCAAGAATACTTTGTAAACATATTAAAGTTCAGGTACTTGTTCCAAACTTTTCATTAAACCTGAAGGAAAAAATAAAAATTAGAGTTCACTTTCTAGTAGATGATAATGGAAGCATTTGTATGTGTGAATGTGCTTGAAACGGGACCACATAAATACATGGCCTCGTTTTTATGGAATGGTTGGGAGTCGGGACACAACCCAACTCAATCATGGACGTCTTTGTATGGGTGCAAGTATAAAAAACAATTCCAATATAAATAAAATAATTTAATCATAATGATGGTGTCTGATTGGTTTGAGCTTGACTCCAAAAATTAAAAGTATCAGGAGATCTTAGATTCAAATTCAAGAAGAAATAAAAATCCTCTTGTGGCCACGGAGGTTCAAATGCGGTGACTCTGGGCTATCTGCAAAGCAGGTGGTTGCTCTGGGATTAGTCGACTCGCATAGCGGGTTGGATATCCAGGTCAATAAAAAAAATTAT